CCAAAAAAAACATGCCAGTACCATGCTCCTTTTTTTACACCATTTATACACAGCTATGCAAGAAAAGTATCAGAGAGAATCTACCCATCTCTGACTGCATGTGTGCACGATATACTGTATATGCACTGCACAACTGTATGACTCACTCTTACCAGTGAAAGGAGAAGGCAGAGAGGAAGAGCGAGAGAGAGAGAGAGAGAGAGAGAGTGTGTGAGCGAGAAAAGGAAACTGATAGAAGTGGAGTCATTTATTGGCACTAAAGTGTGATGCCCATTTTCCACCGGCAGTTCCTCATCAGAAAACACCAGAATAACAACAATCGCTTTTTAACTGCCATTGCTTTCTTTTGCATCCTGTGAGCAAGAAATCCCATCGTGCATGTTCTCTCCTCATATATATTTTGATGAAAAGAGGCACCTACGTCTGCATGAAGTCATGATTTTCTCCGGTGCTCACAGTCAGCTGAATAAGCAAGTGGCTGTGTTAAATATATCGGTGCGTCTGCTCTGCTGTGTATAACACTTCATTACGATTTGAACAGCTGAAGCCATCTGTTAAAACTCATAATTCCCATTAGCCATCGGGACCATCAATATTAGCTGGAGTTTATAAACACAGAGTCATTATTTAATGTCTACAAGCATCATGTCTGGTAACATCAGCTTTCAGTTGACAGACGCAGCACTTTTTTATTTGATTTGGTTATAAATAGATTAAATGAACACTACTAACATTATTACTCTGTTCCAAAATTTAAGCTGACTATGTAGGCTGCATTTTAAGGCATAGTATATTCGTTCATGTTTTCATTTTCAAATTATAAAGCAGGATTAGCATGTATTCTTCACAGAGAAGGCTTGGTGAAAAATTAAATTCAAGATGGCGGACAAAGTGAGAGAAATGTCAGTTATGAACAGAACTGATTAAACTCCAACAATTATAGATTAAAAACTAGTTCAGTCTCATTACAAATGCAGTATTTCAAACAATACTTGTGTGCACCATGTATTTTTATGCTTATTTGAGAATAATAGTGTTAGCTTAGCAACATGCTAATACAACGCTCTATTGAAATCAATTGTGATGCAAATTTCTTGTGCATTTAGTCATAGCCGCGAGAACGTATTTTGAGGGGGTGCAACTTTTGTTAATAAAACTTTCATTTCTTCATTTAAATAAGTGAGCGTCTTTATTGTTGCTGGGTTTTCATAAAAAAAAATAATGAGCCACAAACTAAGCATTCGTTTTACATAGGGGAAAATACCTTATTCAGGCTATTTGGGTTACAATGCAAGGCTACAACCATCGTATTCAATTTGTTACTATAAGTTAGATGTTTAATTTATGCGAATTTGCCATTGTTCTATTTTATGGTTGATGTGTTTTGATTAATAAGATAATAAACCACAAACTACGATCGTTTTAGCCTAAGGGGAAACATTAAAAAAAATAATGAACCACAAACTAAGCATTCGTTTTACATAAGGGAAAATACCTTATTCAGGCTATTTGGGTTACAATGCAAGGCTACAACCATGGTATTCAATTTGTTACTATAAGTTAGATGTTTAATTTATGCGAATTTGCCATTGTTCTATTTTATGGTTGATGTGTTTTGATTAATAAGATAATAAACCACAAACTACGATCGTTTTAGCCTAAGGGGAAATCCATATTTATTTGTGATAAATGCTGGTAAAACATATCCTTATTCATTTTGTTAATAAAAGTTCAAAGTTTGATATAGGTGAATTTGTCATTGTACTATGTTATTGTATTGCCTTTTTCCCATTAATAATAATAAGCCATAGCATTTGTTTAAGTAAGTGGAAAATCCAATAACCTTTTATTTATTTGTGTTACAAAGCGGGTACATCGGTCTTATTTGTTCTGTTCATAAAAGTTTTATGTTTAATAAGTGACTTTTTCATTGTAGCATTGCTGATGTTGTGTGTGTTTTTATCATTAAGAGTAATATTGAATCAACCTTAAAGGTGCAATAGGTGATTGTCTTCAGAAACATTTTTTGTTATGCTGGTTGAAAGTCTCTTCACATCCCGATAGCAATCATTAAGTTAAGCGGTCTAAATGTATTTATCTGTATTTATATATTCTGTGGAAGGTGAAGGACCAAGAAATGTTCGTCCAATCAAAACGTTCGTTCCGAGCGTTATAATTAGCTTTCCTACCTGCCTGTCAACATGTTCATTGCTCCCTCCACACTGAGGAAATCTGTTGAAGTTTACTTCACTTCGGAACATGGGCTGGAATTGGGAACCGCTGATGTATCCTATTGTAGTAATGTTGTCTCTGGTGTGTGAGCGTAAATGCGTGCGGGGGCGTGGCTTTAGACGGCGATTGCAGGGAGGGTGGGACCTTGGCTTTCAGTGCTATCAGGCTAAAGTTAGCATTTTCCAAGATCTCCTACTGCACCTTTAAGCATTAATTTTGTTTCAAAAATAGGAAAGATCTAACGTTAAAGATCAAAATAAGCACTACACACTCTCGCTATTTCTCTGCTGTCTCTTTGCTATGTCTGTAGAAATGGTAATTCATTCTTAATTTGGGTACAGCACAGACGTTACAGGTAATAATATAATAAAAAAATTCAGGGCAACAAATGATTTTTTTTTTAAGTCAGTTTAATAAGTCGAAACAACAAAAAACTGCTAAATAATGCACTTATTAAAATTCTAGTTACAATGTATTTGATGAAAGTAAAGTTCAAAAGAAAAACATTTATTTGAAGTCAAAATATTTTGTAAAATTGTCAATGTATTTAAGGTCACTTTTGATCATTTTAATGCATCCTTGCTGAATAAATATATTAATTTATTTAAAATGAAAAAAAACTAAATAAAAAAAAGCCGAAACGACTTTCACAGTCAATTTGATTAAACTTAACTCATGTTTAACCATTGATTCTTGTCATTGTAGGCTAAGGCTACTTTTTTCAAAGAATTTGTATGAATATACAAATTAATAAAAATACATTTTATTTATTTTTTGTTACAAATCGTTCATTCATTTATTTTTAACAGCGCACCCCCAGCACCCCCATTTTTTCGTGGGCTACACTCCAGGGGGTACTTCCCTACTTCCCGTGGTAATGCATTTAGCGTTCGTGAGCACCACCAAGACGTAGTTTTACATTACAGTAGTGGCTCTGGGCATGTGACCAAAAGCACAAATCTTATTGGCTAGCCAGTTTTATTTGCAGTGCAATGTAAAAAACATTACAAAACCTTTCTGTAAAAAAAAAAAAAAAAAAAAAATCTGACAGTGATGTCATGCAAATGTTCATGTTGGTCTGAACCGAAACCAAACCAAATGTTCATGCCGAATATTCATCTTGATGTAAACAGGCATTTACTCATGGAACAACAGAACTTCTTCAGCTAATAATACACATAAACGAGACTAATTATTCTGTAAGTGAAAATTACATCCTGAAAATGGTATTAAGGGCCGGTGTTCACACCAAGTACGATAACAAAAACTGTAAGCTTTAATAATCTTTCTAATTCAGCGAGAATAGTGCAGTTCACACCACAACTAAAACGATAACGACACAGTGGAATAATATAATTGAGATCACTTTCAGAACAATTTCTTTCTACCTGATGAACAATGAAAACATTAACAGCCAATCAGAATCCACTCGACTTTCAAGAGCTTCAGCATTTAAAGCGACAGACAACAAAACCGCAGTGCACTTACAACAAACATAACCTTATCGAGCTTTGATGTGGATGCTAATTTAGGCTACGTTCACACTGCGAGCCTTAGTGCTCAATTCCGATTTTTTTCACATTGTTCACATTGTTGTTTTAAATGTGGCCAATATCAGATTTCCAGTGTGAACGGATCATGGTTCTGTACTGACACGCATGCGCAAAAGAACGATACAAATAGGGTTTCCAGGATTTCACAAAAAAATCTGCCCAATTGCCTCTCAAAACTAGTCCAAAATTAGCCCAACCATGTTCAGGTGGGGTAAATATTGCGTTTCACGTCAACCCACAAAGTTGAAAAACAACCATCGGCAACAGTAGAAAAAGTTGAATTCAGAATTCCGCGGGGAAACTGTGGATTTGGCAACACTTTCACAGCGCGCTGTCATACGGAAGTAAACATGGAGGACATTAAGTAAGCAATTATGCGTTTATTTATAGTGTGATATGCTGCAGAAGCCAGCGAAATTATGCACAGACGATATGAAAAATAATGACAAGGACGTGACAAAAGACAGCAGAGTTCTGAAACTTTTATGATACGAGCTAATGTTTTGCTTGTATATGGAGTTGTCACTATAATACTTATGATTTCTGGCACATCACTGTACTTCCACTGACTACCTTTCGCAACTGTCTTGATAATTTTAGGTATGTAAAATCTTTGAAGTGTCTCCCGTCAGTGCGGAATTATGACGATTGTCGATCTAGAGCAACGTAAAAGTCACATGAATTCCGACATGACTGTTCACACTGCAGTCGCATTTCAAAACATCTGACCTGTATTGGATTTAGCACCACATATGGAAGTGGCACAAATCGAAATTGAAAAGATCAGATTCCATGTGGTTTGTGCTGTTCACACCGTCATGACAAAAACAGATCTCAGTCTCAAGTCAGCAAAATTTTTGAGAATTTGGGCCACATTTGCCTGCAGTGTGAACGTAGCCATAGTAATCGTTCTTGCTGTGAATGGGCCTTTACATTAAACTGCCCCGAAAACTGGCTTCACACCACAAGAGAAGCTTATAACCATCTTCAGAAGGGCCAAAATGTCGAGATATTCCTCACTGCAGAACACAAGATACAGGGGGCGTGGTTGGATCCAGATCCAACTCCTCCCACCTTACATATAGCTAAACCTACCCGTCTCTACCCGATGATCCCTAAACCTACCCATCTCCACCCCTAAACCTACCAATCTCCATCCCTAAACCTACCCATCTCCACCCCTAAACCTACCCATCTCCACCCCCTAGATGTGGATCCAACCACGCCCCCGGATCTTGTGTTCTGCAGTGAGGGGCTACTGAAAATGTCCTCATGACCACTGCAATCGAACCAGTTTTGGATTATGACCGTTTCGGCACATGATGGAACACCAATCTGAGACGGTTAGCTCACTAAAGCACATGTTTTTTTGGGTAACCAGTGCACTTACAGCGTGTCCATCCTCGTGCTCCACCTTATAGCGTCTGGGCAGCGTCTCCACCTCTCTGATGTCATCTATCGTGATGTCATTGGGAAACACAGCAAAGAGTGAGGTCACATACATGATGATGGACTTCTTATCCGGCAACTGCACCGCCACATCTGAGAAACACAGAGAGAGAGAAAGAATGAATATGAATATGGGTGTGTGTGTGTGTGTTTATGGAGTTGCTCTATGAGGCCCCTCTGATTAGTTATGGCTCATGTGAACTTGTGTTCAGGAAAAGACATGTAATCCAATCAAGTCCAGATGATTAGTCTCAGGATCTGGGCTCTGGAATGTGCTGAACACCGGTTTGTTGACTGGCATTGTTTTATTGGTTTGATTCCCTGCTTCAGGCGTAAACAACAAACTGACAAGATCTCCAAACAAGGCCAACATCACGTCAGCTGAAGATAATGGTCAAGAACGCTAACGAAAAGTCCATTAGGGCTGTACAAATAATAAAAATTAAAATAATCAAATTCGCATTGAACTGCACCGCCACATCTGAGAAACACAGAGAGAGAGAAAGAATGAATATGAATATGGGTGTGTGTGTGTGTGTTTATGGAGTTGCTCTATGAGGCCCCTCTGATTAGTTATGGCTCATGTGAACTTGTGTTCAGGAAAAGACATGTAATCCAATCAAGTCCAGATGATTAGTCTCAGGATCTGGGCTCTGGAATGTGCTGAACACCGGTTTGTTGACTGGCATTGTTTTATTGGTTTGATTCCCTGCTTCAGGCGTAAACAACAAACTGACAAGATCTCCAAACAAGGCCAACATCACGTCAGCTGAAGATAATGGTCAAGAACGCTAACGAAAAGTCCATTAGGGCTGTACAAATAATAAAAATTAAAATAATCAAATTTGCATTGTGATTATCAAATTGCAAAGGCTGCAGTTTAATAAAATAAGTACATGTGCTGAATGTTTTATAGTGAAGCGCGGCTCTGTGTTCATTTACATATGAGCAGCTCATTATCTGCCATTATAACATGCGTTTGGAAATGCAACATGTGCAACCATCTTCTCAAACTTTTAATGAGAAACGCTCATCAAAGAAAAGGCAAGCTTTAAGGGCTCTCAATTGTATTAGTCACCAATGGCTTAATGTTTGAAAGTTAAGACAGAAATATTAGTACTGTAATTTTACAGCTGTAATGTGATGCATTATATTGTTGTTCCCAAATGCTTGATTTTTTAAATTATTTTACAGGGAAATATTACAATAGTCATTTTTTTTTTTTTTTTTTGAGTATTTTCATATTTTTTTAAATAATCATCATAATTATTATTACATTTTATTATTATATTTTCAAATTATTATTTTAATGGCCATATAGATAGCCACAAAAAATTGGCCAAATTGTGCAGCCCTACAAGCACACAAAACACATCGCATTTGCATTTTTAAAAAAAACACACACACAATTAGTTTTTTCCCCCAAATCGTGCAGTCCTATTGTCCACTGTAAATAGTGTAGCAATGTATGACGCACATCCAGGGGCCTAGATTACACGGGGGACGTGTCCCCCCCACTTTTAATATCACGTAAATTCTGGAAAATGTTTATCGCTTTCTGCTTCTATTCTGAATTAAAGCAGTTCTAGTGTCACGATGCTTCTTTACCTTCTGGATCCAGGAGTCTCTCAATGTTGAGTTGATCTTTGGCAAATGTGAAAGCATGGTCCAGCCTCTCCACTGGGGTTAGACGAACTGCTTCCTCCCAGCTGAACCCATGAGGTCTGAAACACAATTCACAACAAGAGTCTAACCGGCCGTTCACACATTCACCATCAATGAGAGCTGACATGAGCAACAGCGTTCAATGACGAGATTCAGTTCAGGTAGTCACTTTGATTACAGAATGCAGTTTTGACTGTTTCGAAACCGAACCGATGTGGACCGATAACCACATTTCTGCTGCGGTGTGGATGAAGCCCACAGATCTGGATGATATTCAAGCAGGTCCACATGAATCTACATCTGCATCTACTTCTGCATGTACTTCAGAAGTACATCTACTTCTGTCATTCATAGCTACACACCCTTGCGTGTTTGCTTATTAAATATTTGCAGATCTGATAACTCTTCGGGTGCCAATAAAGGAGTAGTACTAAGCTCGGTTTAACACACTTTGTTTAAACCTATTATGCAGGTTTCCCCACAAAACCAGAACAGAAAATGTGGAAAAAGTCCGGATTACATCTGGACCTACCGACTTGTTCTCAGTCCCTTCATCCACAAACATTTTACATTGCTTACATAAGTTCATAAAGAATTTAGTGATTAAGGTGCAAACATGCATAAAATCCTCTGAGAATTTGTCTGATAATAAATTACAAATCAGCTTTGTGTTTTTCTCTACCTTTTCATCCGATGTTACATTTAAGTTTAAAAATGTGTGTGCGTGCGTGTGTGTGTCTGTGTGCGTGAGTGTACGTGTGTGCGCGTGCGTGTGTCTGTGTGCGTGAGTGTGTATGTGTGTGTGCGTGTGTATGTGTGTGTGTGTGTGTGTGTGTGTGTCTGTGTGTGTGCGTGTGTGTGAGTGCGTGTGTGTGTGTGCGTGTCTGTGTGTGAGTGTGCGCGTGTGCGCGTGAGTGCGTGTGTGTGTCACCTGAAGTGGTGTAGGATGGCGTTGAAGGCCAGGCCGTCTGCCCAGCTGGTGGTGAAGTTGAGCACGTTGACGTTGTTATAGTTGCGGGTGCAGTTTCTCACCCAGCTCAGCAAAATCTTCTCGCTGTTGGTCTGCTGAAGACTGGACATCACATCCTTCATGACGTCCTTAACCTGCACACACACAGAGGATTGTTAGACTATATTATTAAGGACTAGAGACGCACCGAGTTCCATTCAAAACCACAGCAGAACCGTTGTGTGTCTCCGAGCAACACAGCAGTGTTTGTTACTGAATAAATTCACGTTTTTGAACGAATCGAGTTAGTCAATGATTCAGTAACCCATTCATAAAGACAGTCACTTGCCTCGTTTCTGAATGAATCAGCTGTTTAAACGAATCTGTTGAATGAAGGACTAAATGACTCACTCATTCAAACAGTCATTTGCTGCCACCTACTGGTTTTTGTTTCATATTTAAAACTATCATTGCATTTTCCCCAACATTTCGTATTTGTACATTTTAAAAAATATTTAAAACATTAATCTATAAAATTCTTTATGCATCCGAAATTTTGCAGTGTAAATGCTTTTATGGCACCTCAGCTTCATCAAACAGTCGGTGTAAATACATCTAATGCCACTTCAGATGCAGCTTCTGTGTTTGCTGCAGTGGAAAGATGGAGTTTGTTCAGACTAATTTCATTTGAATGGTAACAGCTCTAACTGAATTAATTAATTGAAACAATGTAAGAATTTGATGTGAAAGATGACACATTTAATAAGATCAATGAAAATAATGACCATTTAAGAATTTAGTGGGAAATGACATCTGTTTTGTTACATACAGCAACTCCTTTTCAGTTAATTGTTATTTCTACCTCTTTTCTAGTCACAGAGCACGTTTAAGAATTTAGTGGGAAATGACATCTGTTTTGTTACATACAGCAACTCCTTGTCAGTTAATTGTTATTTCTACCTCTTTTCTAGTCACAGAGCACTTTATTTTGAGAGTGAGAGAACATCTGTAACTTTGTCCAGATTGGGGGAATTGTAATGTTTATTTATTTTTTATTTTTTTTGCATTAAAAAAGTATTTTTGTTTGTATATGCTGTAATTATAGTTTTTAGAAAGAAAATCGGAATCGGCAAAAATCGGTATCGGCAAGTCACA